TCTATTAGGAGCTTACTACACGCAAATTGAGACTTACAGTACAATCAATTATCTAGAACAGCAAAAAAAGAAATATAAATTTCTCATCATATTGGTACTTTCCCGAAGTATTACCTAGTTACAGTATTAATGAATGCTTATATATTATTATGTAGTTATAATCCTGTTTATGCTACTCATATTATTGATTTTATAATAATTTGGTGACCGAACTCATTATTAATTAACTGTCTACATAGATATCATGTAATCACTAAACATTTTGAAAATGTATTAGGAAACCGAACCCGAGATCTAATCAATATTTTCCTTACTTTATTTTTATTCAATAGTTTAGTTGTAGTTAAATTTAAATTGTTAATATTTACAAGTCAATCAACACTCAAGCCAAAGAAACAATTAGCTGCTGAATGTTTACATAGTAAAATAAAGTAGACGATAAGTACCTTGTTAGCTCTCTAACTGGGGAAAGAATAAAACTATGGTGCAAAGTAAAGAAAGGAAAAAAAAATGCATTAAAATTTGGCTTGAGCAATCTTTCCAACTTTGATGATATAATTAACTTGATACGTCATAATATTGTCTGCTCTCAGTTAATCTACTCAATATAGGTACGTAGTCGGTACGTAATCCCGCTCCAATCGATACACGAACAAACACAATTTCGGTACCCTTGTATACTGATTTTAATTACACTGTTCACATTGACTCAACTAATTTATTCTCAAAGTTGACTCGTTTTGAAGTCTTGTCACTACACCGTAAAGGTGGGTGCTTACTTAAAGTTCAATGTCACTTATAATCCGACTTCCAAGTACTAAGAAGTTTAAACTCAAGTATGTATCTACCCAGGACCCAGAGAGGGTACATTTACTTCGGGGAGATTTTGTTACACGCGTGGCCACCTCCTTTGATACTGTAACATAAAGGCAACTGAAGGTGTGAACGATTAATGGCATCTAACCGAAGAATGTCAAGTGTCTCCTGAGAGAAACGTTCAGTAAGAAAATGACTACGGAAGAACATTTCACGGGCCACAAATTTCCCCGTGAAAACAATCGTAAAACGCTTTTATTACTCAAACATTCGCCATTGATTCACGGGCCGAAACAATAAAAATACTGACTCAATCAACCTACCGAACTTTACGAGCAGTCTAGGTGAGTGGTTTTATTGTCAGAACGCCAATAATCTTTCATTTACACCTACATCTAAGAATGGTATTAGCCGAGCCTAATGTTTATGGGCCCTTATGTACACGGCAAGAAATAACCGTCCGGACGGACGAAAGTAATTCATTTAGTCTGGTAATATTTTTTTAATTACTTTCATTTTAATCAAGGTAAGTGTTGGTGTTTATTCTGAGCAGGAAAACAGCGTTGTGAGCTCTCATCTATTTACATTTTAAAGTAACGTGTATTAAAACAGCACATCTCGAACATAATTACAGCAAACTTTGAAGAAATAAAAGTAAAAAATATACCTGCAGAGCAAACATTTGATTTATGGCAAAAATAAAAGAAACATTGCTAGCGTAAACGGAAAAAGTCGTCGCAATGAAAAATAATGTCTTTACGACGGCGCTATTTGAATGTAAACTACATCGAGCTATTTAAAAAGGTGCAATTTATAAGAAATATTTATAGTAAAACAACAACGCGCTCGTGCGGCCGGAAAAGGTCATTTGCTATCATAGGGCGCCGGCGGCGTGCGGCGGCGTGCGGCAGCGGCCGGGCGACTGTCCCTTGCCTCTGTTGTTCATTTTTCTTCCCCTTTTTCCGGGGCCAAACGGTAAAGAGAAACTTAATTGGAGGCTTTCCCGCCGACTCTCAGGCTCAATGAAAAATTACGAGCTAAACGAGCACACGCTTGGGAATTTTTCGCTCATTCTCGACGGCACACCAGCAGAAAGAAACGCTGCGTCTTTACGCAAGCCCCTTAAACTTAGATAAATGTAAGCTGATGAACGTAATTTCAATGAAATATACTGCTCATTACAAGAATTAATTTAATTCCGCTCCTTTAGCGAATTGTCTGACGACGTCGCGGCTCGTGTAGGTGCCTTTATGAACCTTTTCACGTGCCTCTAAGTGCTTTGTTTTGAATCTTTTTTGAGTTATGATCTTTTTGGCTAATTATTACACATTGTTTTGTGTTAATTTGTGGAAATAATTATTAAACGAAACATTATGAGTATGTTCTCAATAAAATGGAAAAACTAAGATAAAGCTACCTACTGAATTGCATGAAGCAGAGTATTTAATACCTCAATTGACGATTCAATATCAATTTCATCTGGCACAGTCACAAAGGCAGATTAACAGTTGGCGAGGCAGGACACAGACAAGTGCACAATACATGTAACTTACAAAACACTCCTAATTGGTTAACCAACCCAATGCTGGATTACGCGGGATGTTCATTATTGCGCTTTCGGGATTTCTCTTAGAGCTGCATAATTCACGTTGCCGCGATTAAGCTAAATGCACAGCATATATGGTAAAGCAGCTTCTATGTCTTGTGTTTTGGTATAAACCTGTGATTTCATAGAATTAGTGTTGCAGTTAGTGGTATAGATTAGATATATCCTCATAGATTCTTGAAATACTTACATAAGTACTTGCAAGTGTTGTTTATGCTTAGTTTAGTACTTTAAAATGTTTAATGGTTAATCAATATTGTTAACAAAATCACAGAATAAGTATATTAGAGTTATTACTGCCAGCCATTCTTCATATTAGGTACAGATTTTTTGTAATTATTCGACTTCACGATCTTGTAAATTACACATCAATGCAAAAAATAAAGACCAACACGAAAGTACGTGAATGTTTTCAACTGCACTTCGACTGTAATTAAAAACTAGAACAAATAGTGTGGTCTATTGTAAATTTGGACACGTAGACAAGCAAACTGTGGGTTTTATATCTGTGGTCAAGTTCCGGGATAGGGATGACACGCCACAGACATTTTAATTAAAGGCCAACCGGAGCTAGAATCTCGGTGAAAGAGTTCGACTAGATTAAAAAGTAAAACTCGTCCCGATAGCAAACGAGGTTAATAGTAAAAATATGAAATGTTACATGTGACTTGTATGGCGGAATATTAAATTGATATTAAAAAATGAGATATATTGCGTATAAATCTGAATAATCTACTCGCATACGCTATTCTATGGCAAATTTTTTATCATGATGTTATTAAGTGACCTTTGGGTATAATTCAAACCGAATATTAGAATTTTCGTAATTTTCAATAAAACAGCACAGAACCTCGAACTAAATCTGGTGATAAGAACACATATTATAAAGGGCGCAAATGAGTTCTACATTTAGTAACATAATTGATTGTAAACACCTCTATGTACATCTTTCCTTAATATTTTTTACCTATCTATACCCGCTAATATCACTAAAAAACAGCCAATACAATAATGAAATATCATCAGGTATATACTAAAAAACTTCAGAACAGTTCCCGTTTCTCCGAGCTGGGAATACGAGACGGCATTTTTTCAAAACTTGTCGAACGGGAGTTGTCGGTAATATCGACTCCTGGGATTGTTCATAGTCAAGTTTTAATATTGTTTTATAAAAACAAACGAATGAAAGTAGTTCAAGGTTTTTTGTTTTGTTTACTATAGGAACTGAATGATGTTGTGATGGTAAACACATTTCCTCATTTGCGTCGCTCAAAGACATAAAAGACATTTATGTTGGGTTTGGATAAAAGACATACCTATTTATGTTGTAACATTTCTTAAAACAGTGACCTATTTAAATAGAATAATATTATTACAAAAATATATTATGTTTCTACTCTACCTATTTTTTGGTAAATCAAACAGCTGACCACTTAACAGAGTTTTATTTCCTTATATTTTAATTTTCCAATTTATATTATTTACAAATTATTTATCACAATGTCACAGTCATTACATATAAAGTTATTTACAACATTTCGTTTTACAAAACATTTACAACTATATAGGGGTACACTGCGGGACAAATTCAGGGAACAAACAAAAATACATCAAAAGTAAGAACACTTTAGAGTAAACTATAAAATTAAGGAATTTTACTTTCAAAAGTATGAAGTTTGTTTCTTTGGAATAGCAGCTTTTACGAGATCAACTGTTCTAACAAGCTATTAGTATTCTAGAGGTCCCACAGTCACCTTAGGCCAAGTCTTAACCAAGTCTGGTGATAATGTCTGAAGGACTAAGCCATTGACGCTAACGTTCCTGGATAAAGTTAGTCTAAACTGTTGACAATTATTTGCAAAATATATATTTTGCTACTAAATTGTAGGATTCCTGTTTTGGCATGGAGTCGGTCACCTCGGTACAACGTAACATACACTCGTGGCCCACTAAACGTATCCGGCAGTGTAAAGATAAAAAAATGGCAACGGTTTGTAGAAAGTCTATCCACCGTTAAACTACTCGCCAAAAACATTTTTGCCAAAAAGGATTTTACCGCGCGATGAATGTTAAAACCTTGATATGGCAAAGTTGAACAAAACACTTTTTACAATAATACTTCAGGGTACATTTGCCATTTATGAGCAAGATTTTTGAATAAGGGAAACTCATTTAACATTTTTAGCTTTTAACAAAAACATGCCGAGCATACGTAATCAAGAATGGTTTGAACAATGAACAAAATTTCAACAAACCGTTAGCTAAGACGAGACTCTACCACAAGCTAAGACATTTCTCATTTAGTTGTGTTCTGCTTAAGTTGCAAGCGCAATTTGTAAGCTGCAGGCAGTCGCAACAAACGAGCCAGGGAATCAGCAGCAGACTACTGGCCAATAAATGTACGAACACAGAGCCAACAGATTGCTGCAACATTTTGACGCAGTTTTTTTAGGCAGAACATAACCATGTACTTTACCGTCACTGTATATTTACATTTTCCTCCTTTGCTTCTGAAGAATCTCGTTTGGAAATAATTGAATCTATTTACATAAGTAATTTATTATAAGCTTTATACACTTTATACACAACTCTCTGGACCTGGTATTTCTTCGGCTATGAGATGCTCTCTCCTACTTAACGTCATCGCGCCAAGTGGTACAGGTGGTTTATTTAAAATTGCTTTCGGCGACAGTACCTATGGAAGGGATAAACACGAAATTAACACAATATAAATAGATGTTATTTTATAAACTTTCAAAATGTATAAGTACCTGAAAGGTACTTTTTGTGACCAATTAAAATATTTATTTTTATTATGTGATGTAAATGACACTGAACAATTTACGTTGACTCGGTCGATCTGAATGAGATACAATACGATTTAGAAACACTTCTAAAAATAAAGCTTAAGTATACTTAAATAAAACTAATATTAAAACCGCTGTGAGCGCCACAATCATTATAAAATTTTACGACTCATTCCATAAAATTTTATTATTAATTTACACCTAGACACAAAACTACTTGAGTTTTTCAACAGTTCATGAGTAGACTTTTCCAAAGTACGTAGTATAATTATGTGCGGAGTGTCTAGTCTATGACATAATTAAACCTACGTTTTAATGACTTGGATTTTTCACATCGGGTTAGCGCTCGCTTTTAATTTAATACCGTGTCTAGGTGTAGGTACAAATACGCGGTATGTGGGTCATGCTCGCACTGAAAAGCTCAATGTTTAGATGTGAAACCGCGTTTGTATTTTTAGTAAAATAATATGAGATTTTACATTGATATTAAATGTTTATGATACGTTACTTGCGACTAATATATTTTATAAAACGGTATACAAAATTAAAAATATACTTTTATTTTCAAAGTGTCGTAATAGTATAGAATGTTGGTATTTTTTTACTTTAAAATGTGGAAGCCCTGTGTGATACTCACGGGTCGATGGTCGTCAAGCGCTGCGCTGGCGCGCTCACTCCCCCACTCCTCGGTTGGATGGAGTGCGCCATTTTTCGTGGCCGCCTCTGTAACACACTTCGCGCTCGGCGGCGCCCCGTCTGTGTACAAAATTCACGTTTTATTATTTCATTCTTATACAGATTTTGATTTTAATAGAAACAAAATAGGTGTTAGTCTGAATACTGGTATACATAATACGAACAGTAATGTTGTCCTAACAAAGTTATAAATAAACTAAATCACTAATTTGGTTTGTTACGAGTTTAAGAGATTTCAAAATTTTTTATTGTACGTTTAACGACAACACGTGTGCCATTTAATACCTCATTCAGGTCACGGCCTAAAATTTGGAGGAAAACAAAGAAAATATCAACTTTAAGAACTTAAGGTGTAAAACTGGTTTTAATCTTCATAAAAATGTGTTTAAAGCCATATTATAGCTTTAAAATGAGATATTAATTTTAAACTTTGCTCATAAATCTTCAGTGTTCTATCAAAAAATTGATATAATTTTTACGACGTCGACGAGAAATTGTCACGTCCATTCTATAAAATTTTTAGATTACTTATTGCATTTTTGTTTTGCTTAATACAATGAGAGGTGATTCATTTTCAACTTTTATTGCAAGTTGTTCGAAGAAACTTCTGTTGTTAATGACAGGACTTTACAAGCAGACCAGGAATGCTCATGTCTGCTGTCATCCTATTTTTGTTACGATCAAACCCAATATAAGCATAAATACTGATTACGTTATTTAATGCATTGTTAAAATCGGAACTTTTTAAATATAGCCCCAAAAACGATTAGGTTTTCCTTCACATGTGGAATCGATAATATAATTGGCAAGCAATTAATCCAACAAGACATTGTAACTCAACGGAATTAACTCAAGAACAGAAGACACTTAGCATAAGGACTATCAGACCACACCACAAATGGCGATCAAATGGTTTCTCATCGTAATCTCAGTACTACTGAGCACTGAGCGCTTTATACTCCACTTGTTAAAGGAATCCTCAATAAAACCGACGTATGTCTGGTTAGGGATAAGTAGCTATTCTGCTTATACCGTTACAATCGGATAAGTGTGTCGTAAACGCATTGGGAATGAAGCCAGTCTTGTTCTAAATTGAGAAGTTTGGTACGTAAGTAACTATCTGATTTTTATTACGATAATGTTCTTGTTCGGGTTTTTAGAGATAAAACGTAATTTTATGGTTGTTTTTTATTGGTTTTGAGTAAAAAGAGTTGAGAAAACTTTCTAATAATAGCTAATAAGTATACAGATGTGCATTTAATAAAAATGTACAGGAAAATATCAAAAACTAAATCGTATCTCTCCTTCAAAGTATCTTAGTATCTATCTATAAAATCATTTTTCATTGTAACAACTTCAGCCAGCGATAATGTTAGGTTATTCCACAGAGCTTGATCTTTATATGATTGATGGTTGTTCTAGAAAAATCTTCGGAAGAAAGATTGTTTTAGAAAATCAATTCTGAGTAGTTTGACGTAGGGAAACCATGCTTTAGCACGAATAAGTTGGCTTGACAAAAATTAGCATGAAACAACACTAAAATTTTGTTTCATTCACCGTAAATACATAACTTCACGCCTGTCTCTCATGGGGGTAGGCAGAGACTAGGGAACGCCAATTACTGCGATTCCTACATACCTCTTTCGCTTCATCAACAGTCATCAATCTTTTCATGCATACTCGTCGATTAAGGGTATTTTTAATTTGGCCCTTCTTTAATATATCGCCAATTTGGTTACAATATGTCCGTCTAGGGCGCGCTCTACCGACAGCTCCATTCATATCCGCTCTGTAGGTATACTTCTTTCGTTACTCTACTTTCATCCATCCTTTCTACATTTCCAAACCAGCGTAACATTCCCTTTTAATCCTTGTCACTACATCATCTTTCAATCCACACTTTTCTCTAATAACACTTTTTTTCACTCGATCACTCAATTTTAGTCTACACATACTTCTCAGGGCTCTCATTTCCACCGCATTAATCCTGCTTTCATGCTTCTTCTGCAACACTCATGATTCACTACCATACATAAGCGTCGGTGTCAATACACACTGCATTACAGCAAGTCGAGCTTTGCTGGATATTATTTTACTCGACATTACAGAGTGTAAGGCACCATTAACACTATTTTCCGCTTTCACTCTCCTCACTCACCGTGTGAGGTCGAAAAGCTTGCGACGCACTTGTAACTACTCCTTGCAAGTGTCCATGGGCTGTGCCGATTGCTTACAATCAGGTAATCCGTTTGCTCGTTTGCTGATCCTATTACATAAAATGCATAAAAATACGGTTCAATAGAATAGAAATCTCGTAAGTTACCTGGCGGTGGGTTCAATATGTCCGGCTGCGCTTGTTTCGGGGGCTTTAAAGTGTAGGCCACCACGTACTGCCCGTCGCCTGCGTTCAGCTGGAGCTCCGACGACTGTTGCTTTGTAGGAGGATTACTTCTGTACAAAATACAATACGTATCGGTAAATATTCTACACGGCTCCTAAAATTTGTTACGTGTAAATAAATAAGTCTTTCGTATATAATGTGTGAGTATAAAATCTGTGATTCTATATAAGAACTAGTGACCCGCCCCATCTTCACACGTGTGCAATATGCATGTATTATACATAATATAAACCTTTTAAGAATCCCTCTATCTATTAAACAAAAAACCGCATCAAAATCCGTTGCATAGTTTTATAGATCTAAGCATGCATAGGGGCAAACAGATGGCGGATAGCTACTTTGTTTTATAGTATGTAGTGATAAGTTTCATATAACTTCGATTCCTTATTACGCAGTAAGAACTCCAAACTAAAAATATCGAACATCTGTGATGAACATAAAAGTGTATGATACACACAGGTACTATATTTACTTCACACTATTATGCTCGGATTGTAAATCGAAACCTAAACTCTTTTTTCTGCATCCTAGCTAGCAATCACTCAATTCAGAGCAGTTCAAATAAAAAATCTTGCTCAGTACGTGCATCAAACTAATATTAAAAATATGAAAGTTTCTTTAGTTGGATGTTTGGATGTTTGCCTGTAAATCATGCTGGAACTACTGAACGATTTTGATGAAATTTGATTATACAAGTTGGGTATAGGCTGACTTAGATGTAGGACACTTATTCCCGATTAAATGTTCCCATGGCATAAAACACGAATCATATTCTACGTGGACAAAGTCACAGGCAACAGCTTGTAAATTCATAAAAATAAATGGTAATTCCAATCAATCATAATCATCATCAATTGATTTATAGCTAAAGTAACAATTACAGCTCTCCAAATGGTTTCAGTTCATATTATATTTTTTAGTGTTGGCGCATTAGTATGGCCATCGACCATAGAGGCGGCGACGCGCGGGACGGGGTATAAAAACCCACGGCCGCGCGAGCGCCGCGCTTCTTCTTCATCGACACACGCCAGCCATAGCATTCGGCCATTTCTTTGTATCGGTGTGAGCCGGTCTTGATTCTGATATATGTAGAAATTAAACCTATTAATTGTGCAGTCTTCTGTTTTAATTTAAAATAACCCAACAGAGCTACGACATTAGTATTAGGAAACATTAGTGTTAGGTACGCCTGCACTTAATACACCCAAATGGTCATAATTTCATGCTCAATGGATTGTGAATTACTAATTTATGTGCAATATATGAGCCACATAATGTAGGTAATTTAGATACGTGTGAGAATAGAATACATAATCTGAATAAATCCAAGGACTATCCTAATGATAATAGAAAACAATTTTCAACGCCATATATTCTCTCTATTTAAAGTCAAAGTATTTTTATTGTAATTTTATATAAAACTGCTACTGCTCGCGACTTCGTCCGCGTAGATTATGAATTCTAGAACATAACTTTAAGCTTTAATTTTCTAAAATAAAAGTAGGCTATGTTATTGCTTAGTACATCAGCTACCTCCCAATAAAAGTTTTACAAAGCCGGTCTAGCCATTCCAGAGATTAGCCAGTACGAATAGACAGACAGATAAAAAATGTTATGTGCATCGTACGTATATTCATATGCTTTATCTGTATAGATGGAACTAACCAAGGATGTTGAAAAAAAGCTGGACATAATGTTACTAGATGATTGAAGCACCAAAATGTCAGTGGTATTTTATGTGTGCGTGTGTAATGGGTTACCGCGTTACCAGACTTAAGAGAATGACAGATGCCCTTCGTGTCTAGGTATGTGTTTATGTTCTGCGTGTAAGTCTATAGTAGCCAGGTGCCACAGTCGTTGTTCCAAGAGACTGTGTCCACCTTTTTTCAACGTCCTTGGAACCAACTAACAAGAACCCTGATACTTTTAAGTATTATAACCTTTCGGAAAAATAAAGTGCTTTTAAAAAATTGGATGTAACTGTTATGCGGTTACGATCTTTTGACCATCGTCATAAACCTCATTTTACATTTTAATTACACAGAACAGGATTCTCCACAAAAACGTTAAACAAAAAGCACTTGATACAAACATACATCCGTATACATGCATAAATACATACGTGCAAAGGATTCTATGTAGTACATACGTTTTACACGTTTTCACTCGTACAATAGTTGAACTTTTGTCAAGTTGCAGTGACTGTATACGAGTAGTGTTAGAGCAATGTTCGTCACTCGGAACGCGAGCAAACATGCATGTTGACGTTATTCAGATTGCAAGGACATGCGCAACTTGGATCGCAAGTTTGAAAGGTTAATGATGTACAACATATATGAAAATGAAAGTATTGAGAAAATATCAAACTTTTTGATCGAAGCGATAGGCAAAGTGGTGCACATTTACAAAATAATCCGGGTACCATTCACAAATTTCCGAAAAGCTGAAAGAAACTTTATTGTGTCTGACACAGGAATCAAAATCGCAATTACCTATGTGAAAATGTTGTCTATAACCATTGTTTGTGTATAGTACTAAACACACGAACACTATTGAAATACTTTGACTTGACTTGAGTCCTGGAACCACTTACTTCTCGGGTTCAATTCCCAGGTCGGGCAAAATATTACTGGGTTTTTCAAAAAACAACTCAGTAGTAGCACGGAGTCTGGAATATGGTGCCCGGTATATGGCAATAGGTTCACCTCCTATTACATGGGACTTACAACATAAATAGTGAAAAGTGGGTGTTACATTCTACTGTGGCATTAAATGCCGTAATATACACCTCTGCCTACCCTTCGAGGATAAAAGGCGTGATTTTATGTATATATTAATATACCTACTTATCAAATAGTCTTCAAAAACTTTTGATTTATCTGTTAATAAGAGAAAAAATATCTAGTAAAAACAAAATAGAGGCATCTTTACAAGTAATCTTTCAGACAGGTGAGAAAAGAGCATATGAAATTAAAATGTTGGGTGTAACATTTCGTGCAACATTATCATTAAATAAAGAAGAGGTTACCTAAAGTTAATGGAATTGTAACATAGAAGGAATGCTTTGCTTTATTGCATGACATAACAACACTCTTATGAGGCTACTAACATACAGACTCTTTTCTTTGAACCTAAGTCTACTGTTCGAATTATTTTAGTTAGTTAAAGAAGGTTTTGTCCGAGCACACGTACATAAGTTCTTATTAAAAATGCAGGTTTTAGGTCGAATAAAATTGTAATAATCGAATGACTGCACAGTTGGCGCGGTGGCATCTGGCTGCCTCGCAACGTGTAGTGGGTACGATTCCCGCAAGGAACAACTTTGTGTGATCCACAAATCGTTATTTCGGGTCTAGGTGTCATGTGTATATGATATTGTATATTTGAAAACGCACCCAGGACACAGTAGAAAATTCTTGAGTGGGGCAACGATTAAAACAAATTTTCTGAAAAATCCAATTGGTAAACACGACTATTTTAAGTAAATATATTGCAGAATATTGGTTTGTACATTATTCCATCTGGTATTCTATACTTTGGCAAAATCATAAGTAATGAAAACGTGTTTTATAACTATTTTGTGAATGCTATTAATTTTTTATAGTGAAAAGTATATTTTCTTGAGAAAGGTGATGAAGCAACTTCATGTTCGTTCATATAACATTTTTTATAATCTTACCTTTTTCTTCGTAGAAAATATCCCGTGAAAATGGCCGCGCATCCGCAGATTATGGCAGTGAAGATAATCGACCAGAAAGCAGCTTTCGAGACACCGGCCATTAGACTGTTGCCACCATCTACGATATTACAAAATAGATAACACTTGTTTTATCATATAAAATGTATATACTCTTTCAGTATATATATTTTATATGTGTGTTATGATTTGTATACGTAATTTCGTGTTATGTTTGAGAAAGTTTGTCGAGAAAATTGTACAAAACGTTGATAAAAGTTTTTTCAAAGTATAATAATTATTCTAGCATCATTATATATAGCAATATAATGATGCTAGCAACATTAAAATAAAAAAAAAAAACAAAATAAAAGAAAAGCTTGTAAATATACATAACCTAACAACTAGTTACTATCTGCTCTTATAACATTCACTGTGGGTACGTAAGTTCAGAAACAAGAATAACAACATTTTTTCAATAAAAACATAAATATGAAACGAGTTTCAAAATTAATTATTATCTGAATATACATACAAATTCATCCCTTTATGTTTCAAAAGATTTTTAAAGGCGTAGTCTAAGCGAATGCATCATTATGCTCATGTTACGTATAAAATACATTGGTTGTTTTTTTTTAGAAGAGCCCTACAATAATGAACTCTATTATAAAAGCGGTAGGTGGTAATTTTAAAGCTACGTGTGTTCTAATTATTATATGTTTAGACACGTTTATCACTATAAAGACATCATCATCTTCATAATTTTTTGTACTGAAAATGAATAATTATGTGTAAGTTAATGTTAGTAGAAAAAGTGTAATTTATGATCTAATTAATATATTATGTCTTCAACATTTCAATAGTTAAAAAACTCAGGTCGTCGAAGCGAAAACTACAACTAAACACAGAATTTGATGATCCATTAGACAACCCTAAAATGTCTTCAGTGAGGCCAAGTATTACGTAGTTTCCAGAACAGAAAATTACAATTTAGAGGAAATTTGTTTTAAATTACATGAATGTGTACTATACGTCTGTGCTCCTCTTCTACTAATAATATTTGTATAATAGAACCCACGAGAAAGAACAATCGTATTATTAAAATCAGACCTCATTCTTGCGAGAGATATTTTATTACTGAAATGGTTAGGTATTCCATTAATATTAACAAAATTATTAAATGTATGAATATATTTTGTAAATTAACCACAACAGACACCCGTTACATTATTATTAGTAGGGAATATTACGATATTAAATGTCAGACGGTGAATTAGCGTAATTACACTTTGCTATCTCGCTCTAGTGCTAACTAAAACAGTAAGAATGAGTGAGACAGAGTATTCGCGTTACGCTATTAAGCAGGTTTAAATTTACGTTTAGCTATCTACCAGATTGCTTGCTTATTATCTTCCTATCAATGGCAAATTGCGCTAGCCGGTAATACGCCATGAAATTAGTTTGTCGGCCAAAAAGGGTTTGAGAAATTCCCAATTAATTTATCTTAAAATTTGTGAGATTTACCCTAAATACGGTGTCCTCGTTCGACGGTCGGATATTTATTGACTTCCTGTAAAATTTGGTGTCAACCAACAATTTTAATTTACAATTTTTGGATGTTTAATTAAACAGTTTATCATTTTTATATTACGACTTTTTCTGATGATGTATTTGTTTATCAACACCAATTTAGACAAGTTACAAATACCTACCTAGCTTTCCTGCAGTACCTATCATATACAACAAAAGGAACAAATCCAATCCAAAAAACTATTTAAAGCGGATAACATACCTGTCCTTCTCTCAGGGTCTTGATACGCAAGTGCATGCAACATGATGCGGTCCGAAGCTCCTTTATCATTCCTCGAATGCACTGTCAACCTGAGTGCACTGCCACTGGACCATAGCACCCCGGCCGGTACTAGGAATACAGCTACACCGTCTACAGCGCGATATAATTGAAAGGGTTAATTGCGCAGAAGATTGTTATGGTTAACATCTATAATAATTGACGATGCTAAACGTTTGTCTTGTCCACTGGTATGGAATGAGTTATTGTTTTTGGAGTGGAGTTGGAGAACTTAACGAACAATTTATTGGTTTGAATCTTGAATTGAGGTGGTTTAAAACAGTGGACCTTAGATCTGTATAAAGTGAAATTTAGAGCGATTTTGAGATATCACAGAAATGAAAAATGTGACTTTTTGACCTACTTTCACTATTACCTACTCTCATCATTTAACGATATAAGTAGATTAATAAAATTTCAAAAACCATTTTCAAAATCCTTACCAGTCTCATTAGCAGTGACATTGAACCTGATCTTCCCATTCTCCGAGTCCAATGCTTCTAACACAACCAGTTGAGGTAGACCTCCATCATAGCCGGTGACACAGCGCACAGTCAGAGGCTCGCCATAGTCCTCTCGACTCGAGTCCTCGATCCAATTGGACCCATTGCCAGCAGAAACTGTGCAGTTCCTCGGTGGTGACGGGCGAGCTAAGAAATAGAGTTATGATTATAGATAACTAGTTATTGGCCGCGACTTCGTCTGCGTGAAATATGATTCCTGTTTTTAAGTCAGCCCGTGCCCTGCCTGCATACCAAATTTCATCAAAATCCGTTTTGTACTTATAGCGTGATTGACGAACAAACATCCAAACAAATAAACTTTCATATTTATAATATTAGTGTGATGTTCTACACCTACTGTTAAGGTTATTTAAACTCCACTGACAAAATATAAGAAAACCTCGTGAAGAAACCTGCACTTGTAACTTCAAATTATGAATTTAAAATTGCTAATTCATAATGAATGCTCATTATTTTTTATTTCTTCTAAATGTGGAAAGAGGTCTTTTCTCAACCATAGGACGACGATGTTGAAATAATCAAATATCAAAATAACCAAATAAAGTCTCATGTTTTCGGCTTACTCACGTAATTATTTGACGAGGAACTCGACTAGTTTCAAGCCATGCTAAAAGCTCATTCTTAGACCCGCGACGTGGTGACTGTGAAACTAGTCGAGTTCGTCCTCATATAATTACGTGAGTAAGCTGAAAACATAATAGTTAATATAGTATGTCACACGAAAGTAATAAAATAAAAATAAATTTTCACTCAATTTATTTTTTGTGATCATCAAATATTTGGTAATGTCCTCGCCAAATGTTTTAATTTATACAATTTTAGAAGCTACGGTCGATTGAAAGCAAAGACTAACTACAAAGTAGTGGAGCTAAAATGATTTTGGCTCAAGACAAAAATAGTTTGGAAACTTTGTCCCACGCTACTCGTCTCATTTCCTATGTTTGACTTTCTTCTTTGCGAGAAAATTGGAATATTTGCTTTAAATTGTTCTTTATTAGTTCTGATAGTTCTGATCAAGAATTGTGCATAATTTAAAGACTTCATGTTCAAGAAACTTCTCGGATGGTCTATTTAAAAGTCATTGTTTATGCACGCGTTTTTATATCAACTTATTAAAATTGCATACTCTGTATAATGTTAACCGATTTTTATAAACTGGCAGAGATGTTTCAAAAGTTTCTTTTATGGAATACGTAGAACATACGAACAGACGGATTACGCAATAGTAAGTTTAGTTCCATCCATGGACACCCACAATACCGAAGGAGTTACATTTCGTTGCCAGCCTTTATAAGGGGGTGCTAGCCAGAATTAAACTTTAATAAATTCTGAATATAATTTATACGCCAACTATGAAAAACTGATTAAAGTATTACAAGAAATCTCGAAGAAACTAGATATCTCGCAGAAAACCACTTACCAGCTGGAACAATTTGGAAGACACAGGGTTGCGCCTGCCTGCCCACTGTGTTGGTACCGCGGCAGGTCAACGCGCCGTAGTCGCGCTCACTGGCTGGTGTGTACCGAAGTTCACTTATACTGCCATTCACTGTACCTATGTGACAAAAATACGAGCTTACTACCATACTCAATTACAGCTAATTAAATGTTTATACCAGTTGCACATTTATAGTAATGATAGATTCCAAATTATTATCTCTATAAGAATTATAAATGTAAATAATAATACGACAGGTTTTGGTTAGATAACTTAACACATAATAGTAATTAACCACACCACAGTAGACTCGAGTAGCCAGTAGCAGCGCGACAGTCGCCGCGTAGCGGAATGGTGCTCATGAACATGAACTCTAGCATGGCTTGAAATTAGTCCAGCTCCTCGATAAACAGTTACGTGAATAAGCCGAAAACATAATAATTAAGTATTAACCGACTTCAAACAGACAAGGGTGTATCTATTCGACCATTTTTCTATTTTTTTTTAACTGTTTGACTACACTAATCTCTTCATTCCAACAAAACGAAAAGAGCATCCAAGAAATGACCAGTCACTAGAATAGTGGAATTATAATAATTAGGTTCATTTAGATACAGTCGAGTGGCCAACTGTCGCGCAAGTCGAGTGTTTGCAGCAAGTACTCGAGACAGTTCAATCAGCACCTCATGCTCATAGCAACCGTCCTGAATATGTAACGAACCGCACTTCGCAAATGGAATTTCTTTAAAAGACTACACGAACAATCTAAGTTTCAAAGAAAAAGATAATTTGTTACAAGGTCTTTAGGTATATTTTTCTAAACATTTCCTTGAAAGGTTGAATACTTTTCTGATTTCGTGTAGTTTAAAAGATAATGTTATTCTTGAAAAATACTGATGTTTATATAGAGTTGTTCAAGTAGCTTTAGTGCTGAGATAAAATCTGTCCACTGATGTGAACAAGGAACGGTATTTTATACAAGTTACGTTGATAATGTAGGAAAATTCCTGTCCACAATTGGTTTCTAAACTACTTTTGAAATATTAATCTTGAGTAGTTAATGGAATATTCCATATTCTTTGTTGCTTAGGCTAATAATTATGATGATAAAGCGTAAATATTGCAAAACTCTACATACCATATCTAGCAGGTGAGACGTTAAAACTCTCGCCGCTGTTGTTAAACTGCCACAGAAACGTGACGTCAGCAGGATCAGCGTGCACTGAGCAGCGCACGCGCAACGCTTCGTCTAACGCTGCCCCCACCACTTGTGGTGATGTCTCACCACACACGGGAGCATCTATTGAAATCGTAACAATAGCTTTCAGAACTTCCACTGATTTAAAATAATATATATTCTAGTAAGTATTCCAGTAGTATAAGTTTATTAAGTACAGTTAATATATCTGTTTATTTTAAACAGATAATAATTTTAGATAAATATTTATTTATTTTATTTAAACCTTTATTATGAAACTATGGACCACAGACATGGAAATAATGCTGAACAGTATAAGTATTTTACGAAAATATTCTTTAACTATATCATAATGCAATCAGAAGATATTTTCCATGTGTGATACTGTGACAACTTTGAGGAAGTTACTCTCGTGGTATGGCTACAGCGTAGGCAACGTAGCCGTAATGTCAGCTACGCCGTAGCAATTGCATTACTGTTGCTTACCCTTTACCTTTATGGTATAAATAATTTTATTTATATACAAAAATAATATTAATATTGTTTCTCTTCTAAGGCTCTCCGCCGCTCTGGCTACAGGCCTTAGAAATGTCAAAATACTCATTTTTAGTTGTAACATATACGCCCACTTGGATCACTTATCCTGTACATATACAAAGTGACTTTAACATTCAGATACCGAGACAAAAGGCTTCATAATAAAAAGAAAAATTCCTTGTTTCGTATAAATAAAATGATAAATTTCTTTTCTATTTACTCACATGACCAAATTAGATACAAAACGAAGCTGTACCTATCGTTTATTTAAAAATAGCTCACGAAACAAACATTCATATGTTTTCTGATTTCGTTTTATATACATTTAAAGATCGGGACACTGATAAAGAGCACATCGACTGAATATTTGCTAGAAAAATATCGTGAAATGGAAAATGCCCAAGCCGGACGTGATGGGTATACTACAATTTGGTAACATTTGCATACTAGGCAAATACCCGGTACATCGTTAACTTTGCTACCCCACAACGGCCTCCTAAATAACAAGCATAAAATATCCATAAATTTAAAAACTCCAACGACCAGTTTTCCTGTCATAAAGCGATAAATATAAATCAAATGAACAATTATTTCGGCAGTTACGAATTATTTCGTCTTCCCTCTCACGTCGGCAATTAAGTGTCGGCCAGTGGAGCTCGGAAGGAAGCTCCTCGATGCGCCAATATAGAATTGTGTAATAAATCACACGGTGGACGTTATTGTTGATTTACGTACGACCATGTATAATCAACATATACCCTCTAATTATAATGGGATCCTGTGTTTTCCCAGTACGATGGATCCGTTTGCAAAGTTTTGAATTAATTACATTAGCGTAACCGCTTCCAAATCCATACGCTGCTGCTCTTTACATAATTTAATCTGAAAATGTAAAAATGATTTCACCTCCCGTTATTGAAAACGAATACGAATACTGCGAACGTAAATACGTAACAACCTTTTGTTTATTAAAATTTATTTAACTTTGGTAATTAGTAAAATTGTTTTGAATTCCACAAACGGAATTTCATTAATCGTCTCCGCTGATTCGTGAAACAAAGTCACAATATCCATTAATAATATTTTGAATTGAAAAGCAAGTCAAATAAGTAGGTACTCAACCATTAAAAGTAATGAACGAAATTGTCCTTTTAGTCTCGTAACTCGACATCATGGAACATTTTTTCATAGAAACGGAGGCGTGTACGAGTTTTATTATTCAATAAATCGTTTCTGGGAATACTATCTTGATTTGTTTCATGTAAATAATTTGAGCATAAATCTCAACAGCCACGTATTACGTACTGCTGAAACAAATGTATGCTTATAGGATGGAAATAAAATTTATTCAAACGATACAAAGCTGAGCGTATTAAAGCGAAGCCACGGAACAGCAGATTGAGGAGGTACGAAGAGAATCGTAGTAATATTAGACAATAATTTTGATGATTTACCGCCGGTACCGCCTTCCCTCGTGCCAATTACTATGCGGACGGTCGGCCACGGAAGGAAGTTGGTACGTCGATCCCGACCGCAATCATTTGAATACTATTCGCAGACACGTCGGTATTTATAGGCCAGTAATTCATACTGTGCTCGGTGACATTTTATGGGATGCCTGTGTGTCCGATGTATATTACCGGGGATTAGGGATATGCAAATGAAGTGTCTAGTGTGCCCGTTATAATTTGATGTCGCTACCTTCGCTCAAGGCTAACTGTTTGTTAAGGGGTAAAATTAAAATGTTAATACATTAATATCGACTTACGAAATGAATATTCGTTCTTCAAATAGCATATTTATTAATAACACAGATTATTATTAATTCGGGCAATAATCATAACAACAAGAGTCAAAGGATTTGTTCCGATTTGTTGTTAAAATGTATTAAAACGGGAAAGTGCTGAAGAAGTTTGACATAAAAAGAAAATTAAGGGATGTTTCCTTATACCCTACTAGCTTAAAGGGGCGCAGGCCCTCAGGCTTAACAAAAAGTACAAAGAGTGTCTGGAAGCGTAAATTCGTATTTGTCGTCAAAGTCACGGCTCAAACGTAGCAAAAAGAATATAAAGTTGAAGATTGTCGCTAGCTGAACTTTACAATATTAACTGCAGTTTCTTCACTACTTAAATAAAAAATATATTGTGATTCTCCACAAAATATTATCATAAATGTATTCATAAACACATCATAAGTAATAGGGTGTACTTTATCGTAAATGTAGTTAAAATCTCCTCATCTTTATGAAAGTTATGAAAATCTTCTGAATACAAAATTTAAATGCAAGCTCAATTTTCACCTCTAGTTGACAATAGATAAGTATCTATTTTATATTCATACTTGAGGTAACTATATTTTATAGAAGAAAAAGGTCATTAACTTGTTTTTAGGTTTATTTGTATAAGTGATACTTACATTGAACTCTCAAGGTCACTACTTTGCTGGAAGTCTCCCCTCTCGCGTTAGCCGCCTTGCAGGAGTAACTACCGGCTTCTCTTCTGGTCACTTTTTGTAGAACTAGTGACCGCGTGCTGACTATAATGCCTGACGTCATATTTTGACTCACTGGCCTGTCCTGCAGAATATTACAGTTGTGTTAGTTAAGATATAAATGTACTAGAAGTAAAATGGATTGGAAATGGCGACCACAAGTTACGACTTTGGCTACACTTTAATCCCGTTCCGACAAGTTAAGCCAATTTATGTTTATTTGTATCTTCAAAGACATTACAAGATCCTAAATAAATTTCGACAGTCTGTGACGGGTTAGTCGAATTACATGTTCAGTCTATCTAAAAAGATTTTCACTTTAAAACAATATAATAAAATCAAGCAAACATTACGAAGAACGATGAATAGGAAATGCCATAAAATTGCCAACTGTAGCCGATTTCGCTTTACGAGCTTCAAACAAATTTAACTAGCACTAACGAGAGCTATAAACTGGGTATGCAAACGACGCGTTTTTCTAATCTGAATGGCTTAGCAATACTCTACAAATAATCACTTGGTAATTGAACGAAATCACGAATATGTGAACATTTTTGTAAGTACTTTTCCCGGAAAAGTCAAATGAAAACTAGAATTAAAATAGAAAAAGACAAACGCAGTATAAATACACTAACCGTTTTGGAACTAAAAATATTTCATATTTTGAGGTAAAACTGAAACACAGTGGTAATATACATGAAAAGTTCATTCAAAACGCGACTCATTATAATGTTCTCTCATTATTTCGCCACTATTCTTGTCTCTCGTATTTCGGTGCAGCTCTAGCATAATATCAACAATTAATAACTTACGTTATGGAACCAGGAGATGCGATGTTCTCTAGGGTTGGCGCGCACGTTGCACTCAAAGTACACGTCGTCGCCTTCCTTGATGTCGTGAGGGTTGAGCGTACTGCCGAGCGTCAGTGACACTAGGGGACTGTCTGGATTCAACATTTATAATATTAGTCGACAGAATATTGCACAAACAACGTACATTATTTGGGACGCTTTTAGATTTATGACCATGTATTTTGTTGTTTCCAGTGATATGTACACGTGGGTGTTGTTGTAGTGAACATTTGACACTTGAAATTCTTTAAGAAAATACTTTGCACTGAGTAGTTAAATATTAGTTATAAGTTGTGATGTATATTAATAGCCACAACTTTCAACAGACAAGAGGGTATGTGAACTTGTATGTTTGTAAACGCATTCACGATACAGGAGAAAATCCTAGTGTGTAGCAAACGTTTTGTAAAAAAAGATAATAGAAAAGATGTGGAAATGTTTACGTTTACTTGATACCAATATAAAGAAAAAAAATATGCAGTGTGTAATATCTAAAGGGAGTATAAGCAATGTATGGTATGCACATAAGAATAACGCGTAAAAAACACAACATCCGCTGGAATGATGCAATAAAAGTAACAAGAACTGATATTTAATAATATTCCAATCAAGTTGATAAACAAGGATTATAAACAAAAACCAAAGAGATAATATGCAGTGTAATAAATTAAAGTCACTACATCCTTTTTAATAAGAACCAATATCGGATGGAAAATGTTATCACTAATTATATTACTCACACTGCAAAGGAAAATTAATTTAAAGTCCAATAAGCTCAGATATTCGCAATTAGCTGTCGTAGCGACTGTCCTATGGGATATTTATCACAATATTATCAAAGAAAACTTCTTTGAACTATATTAACTTTATCCTTAGATCAAGCTAAAGGATTATGAGAAATTGATACAATATTGAGCACTATAGCAAGTGCTCTACTGTTAGGTACGTGGTACATACCTAAAGTTTGCTTTCAAACCTTGTTATAGTTGATGAAATTAAATTGTTCGTTGCGATACAATTTAATTAAGCGTTCAGTGTTATGGTTCACGACATATTTTGGGAATTACGTCAATAGAGTGTTTAATGTTTTAAATAAATATGGATTCAGTCTATTCAGATTCTATGTTTATTATGAACATGATTCAGCAGTCATTCTAAGTTTATTTTTATTTTGAAAAATTATTTTATTTTTTTGTAAAATCTGTAAAACGTTAACTGGTTTGTATAGTATACTTATGGTTTCGACCTTATTTGTTTTAAAGCAATCGATTTCACTTGTTTTAATAAACTTGTAATATCCACATCACATTACATCACAAATCAACAGTCTTTAAGTGGTCACTGCTAACTATAAAGATCTTTTCTCATACTGAGAAGATTTAGGTTATTATTATTATTATTCAGGTCGATTTAAAACTATTATTTATATTAAGTTTCAATTTATTACAGGGACCACTACCTATCACTCAAGATGACGACAGCATATTTTTTTTTTTCATAACACTACAAAGTACATCTCAGACTTACAGTAACAGAAAGTCTATGCCAATTCTTTTTTGTAACCTACAGACATTAAACATAATACTTACATACAACGTTGAGCTGTAGTTGGTCGTCTATTGACTTGGTGGGTAAGCTAGGGTTGGCAGCCACGCATTTGATTATAGCTCCGTTGTCAGCAGGGCTTGGGCTGAACACCAACGTACTAACCGACCACGTCTCGTTTGAATGGTCTGTTACCTAGTAAAAATATAATAAATGTTAACGAAACTAAAGATTTTGTTTTTATGATAACTATCGTGAGACATACTAAATTAAGTAAAAACGCGGGTTACTCACGTGAATATACTGAGAATAGCTCTACTAGCTTCGACGTCGCCGCGACCGCGCACGCTGCTCATGAGGAAGAACCCCTCTGTGGTTCGAAACTAGTAGAGCTTTTCTCAGTATATTCACGTAAGTAACCCGCGTTTTTACTTAATAAAGATTTTGTTATTGTGTTTGAATATGTATAATATGATTTTGAGAACACAATTCACTTATTGTGTAACTACCGATTATATCGCCCTTAATACTGAAGGGCTACTCAATTTTAGGTCGTGCTTAAATAGTTCTGTCTATACAAATTCTTTGTAAAATGACAGAGAGGCACGATTTAAGTGCAACTTAATATTTAATATCTTTTAGAAATAGTTGTTTCGGGCAAACTTGCAGAAAAATAAGATTACAGTAAAAAAGCAACTTTCTCTCAATCGTAAAATCATAAACGCAAAACGTTGAAGAAAATGAGGTTTTATTTCACAGGTCAAATTGACTAATAGACTAATGCTTGTACACTCATTAATGTTGATGAAATATCATGAACGTTAGCCGTACTCGTCGAAAGTTACCTCAACATCAAGCCAGATATTATTAAATAGTACGTAAACTGAACAAACACGTTCAAATTTTAAAAATGTATATAAAGTGCGGTTTCAAATATAACTCCAATTTGAAATTTTAATATTATGCTGACCACGTAACCACCGCCTTCTCAGATTAATAGAAATGTTCGAAGCTGAAATTTGCTTTAAACTGTCAAACACCAAGCGGTCACCGGTGACCGCGACCTATTGTTCTTTAATTGTGTCTATAAAACCGGTACTCGACGAGTTAAATAAATATATCAGATGGGGATGTTATTAAGCCACAACATACCAGATACGAATGGAGCCACAATTAATCCGAATATTGCACTTTAATGAAACTTTATTGGAATCTCTACGACGAACGAAAATTCATTCGAAATTGAGACTTTGCAGATAAAGTTTCAGTAAATCAGCTTGCACACAACGAATGCAATATTTCAGTAGAACTCGATATAAATCGTGTAAAAAGTCACAAACGGATTTGAAATAGTCCCATTTCTGTAAGCTATTGTATAAGCTGGGACGGTCGCAGCGCAATTAGTCGAGCGCTAAATCAAAGTCCATCAGTGACCGAATCCGAGTATAAAACGCGACAATCGATTTAAAAGCCACAGTGCGTGCTTAGCTTTAGAATGGAAGTTAATTGAGGGATTACCTGCCGCGTTTCGCTCAAATAAGACCGCTGGACGTTGAACAAATTACAAGTAACTGTACATTTTGTGAAGCGAATTTTTACCACATTCGTTACTAAAAGATTAACGTTTTTAAACTTTTTGAATTTTTACTGGAACGTATGGCGTACATTTATGACTGGTTTTGTTCATTTTAATCTCGTGTTTTATTTTACGTAGTTACATTTAGCGTGGAATTGAATGAGCAAAGAGACAATTTGAGTAACACGACTGAAGATAAACTGCACCTGGCGTGGTTAGTTGGTGGATGTTTGACTATTTATAGGTTTCGGTGAATGCAAAGTGGTCGGTCTCGATTAACATACAACGTCGGCATGAGGATCGGGTCGCTCATAATCTAAACTAAGGAAATGACGAAGAGAAAATAATTGAGATTCTTATACAATATCTTTGTCATGAAATAAACAGGAGAAAAACTTTAAACTTTCATTGTCGAATTTCGCATTCACAGTGGGAAAATAGTCGTTGATTCCAGACGGTGTGACCACGACCGGTCTTAGGAAAGGGATCACGTAGTGTCGGCCTGAGGACGCGTCTTCCGGACAAACGGATTGACCAACTCAACTAGATACAAAGCCAGCGACGTGTGAATAGAAGCAAATTAATACAAAGTGGGCCTAGCTTTTATATAGAGGTGTTATGACTGTATACGTACTGGATTAGGCAATTGTAAACTAATTAGAGATAAATTTATTAAACACATTAATGTTTAATGTCTTAAAGTATGTATAGCAACTTTAAAAACCAATGTTTTATAATAGTCTTTTGAAGAAATACTGTCCTTTTAGGATTTTCACTATAGAACATTAGTACGTTATAGTAACTAAATAAGTACCCGGTACGTGACTACAAACTCGCTCTATGTTTCATGGGACTATTATAAAATTAATTATATAGCTGTAAAAACGGTGTAATTTCAGACCCTAGGGGAAAAATGTGTGAAATATGTTATTTTATACTATGAGACCATTATCAATAATTTGTCAGATACTTTAAAACATTATATTTATCACTATGATATGATGTAATACTACAGTATCAATTTTAGTGTTTCGTGTTTTACAAACTCAATATTCGCATGGCAGAATGCAACCAATGGTTTTATTTTGGTAACATATTATAAATTTATTTGGTTATACTTCCACCGCGGTGTGATACATAAGTAATTGAATAAAATTATTGTGTGTAACCAGCTTTTAATATTGCTCATGTCATTATGTCAAAACATATCAATCTTTAATTTCACGTAAATACAATATTGTATGGTTTTCCAAAAATCGTCATTTATTTTATGGAAATGGACTCTCAAGGTACACAGTAACGGCACGGCTATGGTTTTTTTTAAGGGAGGAAGATCATTGAAGGCCTTCTCCCACCTTAATGAAGCGGGGGGAGTGTCGGACTCTGACTGATGGCATTTTTGCCAACTCTAGTCTGTATTTTCGTCTTACAGTTTCGTAACCTTCTATCGTCTTCTCCGATTTTTGTCTTTGTCTTAAATGTACATTAAGTAAACCGTATATTAGTTCTATCAGCCTTCATTTCAACCTTCACATACTCCATTCATCTTTGTTGGTTATCTAACACCTCACCAATTTACACAATACGTCTTGTATTGATTTATATTTCTTCTTTAATCAACTTACCATATTTCTGTCAAAACTCCTGTTGTCTTTATACCAGACTATGTGAGCTGGTGGTCGACTGCCTTCTGATACACATCGAAGAGTTGCTGCTGCAGCAGACAGCAGCTGTTGTGGCCGGTTGAGTAAAGATACTGATAATGGAACCACTGGTAAAAAGAAAAATCATTTATATGAGCAATCTTACCATGAAATCTGTGATAAAAATGCCATTAAATAATTATGGCGGGAATACGAAATTGGTTGGGATGTTTATCATTAAATTGATGCAAGTAATCGTAAAAAAGTTAAAGAATATTGATAATAATTATTTAGGTGACTATGAAGAATGTAAGTGCCTAAACGAAAAAAAATAGCGCCATTAATTTATGAAAAAACAGATCTTAAGAAATCGCATCGCATGAATCACATTAATGAATGCATTCCGCGCAAAATGGATATTCCTCATACACTAACGCTAAAAAGACGTAGCAATTTTAAATTCCGTACATAAAATAAACATCACAAGACTTAATGATATATCTAAATAACAAACTCGGCAAGAATATAATTATTATTCTCGTATATTCTTCTTGTAAATTCCCTAATAAATTAATGTAGTGATTTGCATTATTTACAAAGGTTCAACCTTTTGGATGTCTAAAAAGGTTTAAAGAATCATCTGTTTAACGCACCGCTTTATTAGTCCACATCGTTTGTCTAGACCAAGACAAATTCATTTAAATTACATTTTAAAATAAAAAGGATTATTAAAATATTCAAAACGACCACCGTCCAATGAAACTCTGAAATTACTTTGTGGAAAAAACATTCCGTGATTAATGTTCACAGGAATGCTTTTAAATTGTGGTTTCATGAGAAAAATCAATTTTAGAAATATACATTTTTAAGATACCTTGAAAGGACAAATATTTATATGGCTTACATATTTAAGTATTACAAAATTCTATTTAAAATATTCAAAGTTAAAAGTATGCCATAGATAAACAAAGGTCACAAAAATGTTTTTGGATTTTGAATTAAAGCTTATCTGTCTTTTGACATAGTTTTGAAAACCAGAACTTGTATAGAAATATCTAATAATACAAAGTACTATATTTTTATGTCTACCTTTATTTTACTTTTGTACACGTATATTTATAAAAACCAATCACCGACAAATAAAAAATTGCCGTATATTTATATCAAAAACTATAAAAAACAAAAAAAAAACCATCATGTTTTTCATTAGCCAAAATATATTAAAAATAGAAACATATTTCAATAACAACCAGCACGAAGCCATACATTTTTAAAATAATCATAGTCACAGCGAAAAAGTAAATAAGTATTCAGCGATATTTTAGAAAAAAAAAATTGTCTGCATTTATAAATGTCAGTCATAATGAAATGTTGAAGACGTCTTTGTTACAAACAGATAAACTGATAGACAGATCAAAGGCCACACAGGAGTCATTATCCTGAGAAATTAGCTATTTGCTAGTGTAGATTTTCGAATGTAATTACTGAGAGATATCATGTTAAGCTTCTGTGAATTTTGAAATTAATTGTATTTAAAGTTCAGTCAATTACAAGCTGTGAAATCTTGACTTAAAAAAGGACGTGCTTACTTGAACCAGACTATCCTGGGTATCAAGCTATTCTGGGTAGTGTTTTGACTTTACATAAAATAATCATCAATAGCCTATACATATAGGCATAAATTTGTGTGTAGAGTACAATTCTTATATAAACTACGTTTAAAAAAACCGACCTCAACCCCCACTTGTTTCCGTCGGTTAATTAATATATATAAAACCTTCTCCTAAGTGTAACAAACACTTTTCTGCAAACTTCATCAAAATACAAACATGCACACACACACACTCAGATCAAACTTAGATCCTTCTTTTTGAAGTCGATTAAAAATAATCAGTAATTCCCAGAGCATAGTGTGAATAAAGACCTTTGCTCTATTGAGGAGCAATTACCGGTTCATGACAAAGATAATGTTAAAGTTATAATACCAGCTAAAGGAAATAGCATAATATAAGGTTCTTACAATTCATCTCAAGCCTGACGACTTTTTCTTGTGGAGGAACCAAGTTTGTATTGGAAGCTCGACACTTGAACGTGGTGTTTAGGTCTTCTCTCTTCAAATGCTGTAACTCTAAGCGATTGACGATGACGTGTGTGTCTGTCTTGACTCCTATGTATTGGGAGGCTGGCGTCCCATCTATCCACCAGGATACTGTTGGTTCGGGACGGCCTAGGAATGAAAAAAGACTAATTATGGCACACATAAAAACTTTTATTATTATACATATCATTTGATAACTAATCCAATAAAGAAAAGAATCGACACGTGGTATGGCGAATAATTTTCAAATAACTAAATTCAAATATTATATTGTATCTTTAAAACATTTCAGACGTGTTTAGCAGAATACAACAACAGAGACCTTTATCTCACAGATCATGATCGTTATTTTAATCCACACATTTTACATGGATTATGTTAGGAAATGGACTGAGACGAGATGATATGGAAGTGAAAATTTTTCGGCAACATAATTAAGTGTGAGTGTGATAACAGGGTCAAAGCCTAAACTCCCCCTGTCCGGCCCGCTGCATCATCACAATTGGTGGGCGCACGGCCGAAGATAATCCGTTGCGAGCACTGGCTCGAAGCCAGGCGGCCATACTGCGGACTTTTCAATGAACCCATTCGAATGGAATATCTCTTCCAATGTTTCCATAAAAGAAATCAAGCAATAGAAAAAATTGAGCTCCCCCAATGTTCAATATTTTTGCGACGGTTTTAAGTAAAGCACCCAACTGAACTAACTTATTTTTTTGAGCACGAAATTCGAAAATATGGGGTGGATTCATTTTTTTCTTTCCATTTAATCCCATTAAAAATAAAACTTTCACACTCTTTTGAATCTAAGCACAGTGTTAACAAATGCCATGGAAAAATTCATATAGCAAAACCCCAAATTATAATCTTTATTTAAATGGACTCCATGACATTAAAAAAACAATCGATAAAACAACCAATAAATGTAAAAGCAGTGTGGGTGTTATTAACAAAATATAAATGTATTTGTGTGTGAACGTATATGGCGATATTAAACTTTTGAGCGGTGAACCGAGCTGTGTAGAATGTCAATACGTGGTTCATAACACTGTTCCGCCATGTATTATGATGTTCGGAAAAAGTAATATTTTTATGACACATTCAATAAAACCAAATCTAGTACTAACAAGAATATTTCAGAATCAACTTCCGGCCTATTGTAAATATTATGACGCTCTTCAATTTCCAATATACGTCGTGTTAGAAAAGCGGAAAATCTGTCATAAAAACTTGATTTTATGTTGTACTATTTTGTATGTTCGGGTATTTTTAGACGGGGTTTTGCTAAGGCGTATCTAACGACAACTTATATAGTAACCAAATAAAATAATATAGTAAACGAATATTATAATCTTACCTCCCCGAACTTCACACACTAGCACCAAGGCAGTTCCCTCTTCCAAAGGACCCACCACGCCAGACACATCCGCGCCAGACTTATCATACATCAGCATTTGATGAGGAGGTACTGTGACAAAAACCCACTTGGAATATAATAACATCGCATCTCAATCTTCATCATAATAATATCAATATGGGAATGAAAACTGAGGGCGCGATCGCTCACGATATTACCAACGAACGGCAGATTTGATTATTATTTGACGCCATTAATGAACGCCCTCCGTTCTCAATGGTAATTGGATATTTTATGATGTTATGAATATGCCTGATTATGTAAGTAAGAGATTTCTTTGTGTGAGCAGTCCCTTTGCTAACAAAAGGCTCCTTGCAAATTACCTCTCGGCGCGAGCAGACTAATGGATTTCAATGGAGTTGCATATATGCGATGTAGGCTTACTTTTAAATGCTTTGTTCTGCGCAAAAGAAATTTACTTCCCTCATCTCCTTTGCCTACGTCTTTCGTCGCCTTGAATAGGGTAATTTCTTTGAAAAGCTCAACGGTAGTTTGCTCGGCATTTTATAGGCTATGTTTATATTTTTATGCTCTCCGTCGGTAATATTTCTCAAGAATACTGTTACGCTACCATTGAGTAAACCTATTAGAGTAATAACGGTGAAAAGAGATGCAGTACTCGACTACACTATTACACTAATTATAGTGACAGTGTTTTTGCTAGTGGTGCAGTAAAAATAATTTATGTTATTTCGTTCTTGGTCAACACAAAGAACGGAGCAATATAAATTAGTGTCAGCGTTTACCGAAGAATGAATACAAAAGAACTAGTAAATCATTTTGTAATTCAGTGAGCCATTTCCGTCAAACGTTTTAATAAGCAAATAAAGGGGATCAGTACGGCGCGGCGGACTGATAACGCTCAGACAATTTGATCTATTCAAATCTAATTTCCTTTTAAATTTAACCTGTCTCCTGCAGATTTTATCTGTGTCATCGTCGGCGGGCATCGTTTTTATCAGCGAGGCAGCTGAGCAACCCCGCCGATCCCGAGTCGACAGTTCATAATTAAAATGTCTGCGCGATGTCATCACTCGGCGACCGCGCGCCTCCCGCGATTCACCGTAATGACTAAATTGATTCCCAGTCGTCGCCTAATAAAATTTTCATTTAAAACTTAGTCGATTTTTATTTTAACGAGATTGTCTTGTCCGTCCCGTGGCTTGATAAGTACAGCTCATAATAACAGTCTTTTATAAATTACATGGTTTATAATCAAATACACAATTTCATAAAGAGCAGTTTCGAAACTTGTTTGTTGAAATAAAATAATTTTGTATTTAAAATAATGAAGCAACCCGAAGGGAAGGTATACCTAAACTAACAGCTGAAGGGTAGCGATGATTTTGAGTATATATTAGAAAAAACAAGTGTGCTCTAGACTAATTTCATTTCTCTTTTCAAATTCTACCTGAAATTAGACAGTTGCTTTGATCAAGTATTTTTGTTTGCCGCTAATTCTGTTTGGTTCGTTTCATTAAGTGCTCTTTGCTTAACTTTGTTTCATAAACTACGCACGTATCTTAGATTTTATCTACGAACTTACCTATTACAGTTAGTCTGATTTGGAAGTTTCTCGTGGGCGAGTTCTTAAAGTCTACTCTACACCTGTAGACGCCTTCATCGTCTAGTTGCACTGAGCTGAGTGTGAGCGCTGCTGGTCGGGCGACTGTTGCGAAGTAGGCCCGGGGTCCGAACGCGCCCGGGTCTGACCACTGTAAGGCCTTGTTGAACGATCGCCCACGGACGTCGAAACTGAAATAAAAATTAATTTAGCTCCGAGGCATTCCAAGAAATGTAAACAACAATATTATCATCTGATTGAGCGTCTAATTATATTCTTAACAAAATATATATCTTTAGAAACAAACAAATTGAACTAAACTTTAACCGAGATATTAACATCAATGTTACGTTACACAAGGCGGACACCAACAATTACGTGAATCAATCAAACTCTAAACTACACTTTCACACACTGTCATCCATATGACATTATTTTAACGAAGAATCGACACACGCATGCGTCCGCCTCTTCAATAAAACGTAATGAAATCTCATAAACAGCTGTTTGGTTCGTGTCTGAATTTATTTTCCTTAAATAACTGTCGATGTCTAGAAATAAAAGAACGGCCGAACACGATGAAGTTTTTCAATTTCCGGACAGGCTACATTTTCTCAATCTACCGACCTCCAGCCTAATTTATAAAGCAAGAAGCTTTGAGAGAGAGATGATTTGATCGTACCCTGCTGCTCAGGTAAATTTAACAATTCGAGCACGCAGTTTATGACGGTATTATCTCTCCAAAGTATTCGTTTCGCCCTATTGCTGATATAAAATAGCAATTATAAACAATTGTAAGGATATAATGGGGATTTTATCTACACAACTGTTTTGGTTATGTAAGCAGTTGTTCGCTGTTTCCAGTTTATTACGCGAGACGGTAATAACGTATACTCCCGTTTCGCGTAAAGGATGAACAAAATTAATTGATACTTAAATAAATGTTTACTTAATTTCTTTGAGTTGCTTGAGACAGGAAATTAATAAACTGATTGCTACTTGATTAAAATTTTCTTTGGTTCATTCATCTTTATGCTGTTACATTTTGTCCCACGTCAAGGATCTATTTTCTTGTACACTCAGTATATAGTATATATTTTACGATGTCTAGCTTTTAGACCTTGTACCTTTAGGATTATAGGTGTACCTAAACACGTGTATAGGTATTATTCCGTAGGGACTGTAAGTAGCAGAATAGAATATAGATTTTAGTATACCGTGTCAAAATAGGTGTGTAGCTATTATAGCTAACCCGTATTATCACATAGCTGAAGAGTAAAACACATACATCTTAATTTTGCTGACAATCTCAAGACTCTAACACTATGTATTATCTACAAAACATAAAAATCTTAATAAAACAAGTGTACAAGGTGTAGTAAACCAGTGAATGACGTGAAAGCACACATCATGAGGACATTGATGGAAAGTCCTCGGACCGGCGTCGTCAAGTGTGATTTCCTTAACGAGAGCTATGACATCTTAAGTGTGTTTCCCTGTACGATGTAGGTGTGTTTCAAACGTTAATTGGATCGGTCGTGCTCGGCTTTCGTTCATCCGTTTAAGGTACCGAACGCTTCATTAGGCCCGACTTTATGCTATTAATTAAATACGTATTCACAAAGTTTTTGTAAGGCTCTGCCCAACTGGAATTAGCGTTGAGACTATCTGTGTTTTCCAAGTTGGACTGGCTTATAAAACTTGGGATTTTCTGGCTTTAGAATCTTTGCTGTCTCATCTAGTGATATTGTTCTTTAATTTAGTGTAAAGTGACTGTTCTTTTGTTTTTGTTTGGTTACATATTTAAGACATAAATATGTAAGTCTGGATTTACCTACATAGGATAATTAAATGAGGAAATATTAACTGGAGAATAAATCTGTTATTGTTAATTTCCATTTGACCTTTGATATTGAACTACATACTTAATCGATGATTTAATCGATCACATATTGGTATAGACCAACTATAAATCACAAAATTAAGGAATTTACAATAAATTGATAAAAAGTTATGTAGCGTAATTTCGCCATTAGCGAAAAAGGGACTTTCCAAAACAAATTATTTCGTGTGAAAAGCACGACATGTAATTAATTAATACACATTTTTGTGTGTCTGTTCATTAAGTCAATTCTTCAGTAATCCATTAATTGAATGCGGTGAGTAATTTATACCGAATACTTACATTATTTATATGAAAGATTTATGCGTAGCATATTGTGTTTGTTATGATTGCAGTAATTAATATAATGTACACAAGTAAATAGTAGCCGCTAGCGAGTAAAGGCGATCATCGATTATTTAACAAGTAGTTTGCAATGATGTTATTACAAGTTTCGTGAGACATACTAAATTGATTATCATATTTTCGGCTAGTTCTTGAGTAGCCAGTAGCAGCGCAACAGTCACCGCGTGGCTTGAAACTAGTCGAGTTCGTCGTCAAATAGTTACGCCAAAATTTTAAGAATTAAAGTGGGTAGCGATATCAAGAATGACTATTTTAAAAACATAAACTGACTGTGCAGTTTTTGCGCACTATCTTTAGATGCATTCTCATATTTTTCACCGAAGCATCAGTTATTGGCTACCTGAAATATGTTCTCATTTTAGGTTTTTTTTAAATAATATGTAGTTCTAGAAGTATGTTAGTAATAAATTAAGGTGTATGTAAAACTATGTGTTTGTAAATGCACTCAGAATATTTGTGAGAGTAAAAAATATAACACAAATTACATTATAAACTTACTTAGTACTAGCAGTTTTTATAGAAACTAATCATATTATCAGAGAGACTAAGTAAAGCTACGTTTTAAGTTTTAAATTACAGAACTCCATCTGAAGCGTCCTCCACTTTAATAAGCTAAAAGTTAAAATTTCGATTCCTTACAAATTTTTCCTGGATAATAAGTTATGCATGGGCTTTTAGGTTAATTTGCTACCATACCTACTGCGAAGGACGCCAAGGACAGTATTTTAGGTGCACTTATTTTACTTCTCATTATTCAGAGAGTGAAGCGTTTATATGACGGACATTTTGTCGTTCATAATTTTCTACTTATATTGAATTTTACGAAGAATACTAAGAAATTTTATTAAGTATACCTAATGATGGTATTGTAAAAAATGAAACACGTAAGCATTATAGGAAGTCGACTAAAATAACAACTAAGTATATTTTCATTGACAGCAGGATTTAATTCGTTAGTGGCGCCAACCAGAGAGAACTAATGGAAACCAAAAACCCTCTTTACACTGTATCTTCCAAAATTCATATAAATTCTCTATTACTCACCTATATATAGGTTTGCCCCCACTCTTCCGGAACCACAGCACCATATAGACCCTGTCTTCATTAGCGTCGGGTGTGACGTCACAGGGGAGAGACGCCGTACGACCCAGCACCGCGTCCACATCCACCGTCGACACTGCAACAATGAACATGTTCCGTTATTACAACAATAACGCTATCTAGTTGCACTAAGATACTGTGCAACGATGACGTTTACGTATTCTAAAGTCAGAACCGATAGTGCGAAAGATAGCTTGGATAAAATGGAGTTTATTCAAGAATTTGCTCTCAATATTCTCGCGGATCCAAGTTTTCATAAGAATTTTGGGAAACCATTTCTATGGAAACATTTGCTTAGCATGAACAGCAAGCGATTAAAGCCTTTATACACATGAAATCAATATCAATACGTTTTGACTTCAAATATTTGATCCAACTAGGCATTTAAGGTAATCATTTTTAATCCGGGAAAATCGTAATTTATTCAGCCTCTTTTATGCGTAGAGCGCCTGGTGTCCCCTACAGCCCTTAGGGAATTTCGCAGTTAAATTCGCACCTCTAATCCCTCAGTCACCTCTACGTCAACAAGAGGGAAGATCCTATTGGATCTCTTAAAATTCTTAAGGCTATTTTGTATAAATCTGTGTCAACCTTCAAGTTATCGTTCAATCATATTTTTTTTATTGATCTTATTTTGATCTGCAATCTATGATTACTTTTAAAGACATTTATTACTATATCCTCTATAGTACATACATAAAAAGTGCAGTCAACGATTTTGCCAATGATAAGTTAGTATAAAATAGTTAATCAAAATAATATTATATTACGTTTCAAGTCACAAAAAAAACGGCAGAAAGAATTTCAAAAGGATAATCTTATGAAAAATGTATTTAAAATTTTTAATTTACCAACAACTTAAATATTCCGTCATTGCGATCTCGTCCAGTTCATTTTACGCATTACAAAAGGATGACAACGGCTACGACAGCCTATTTGCATTAAGAAATAATCCAAAAAGGCGTTGAAATAAAATTTATTACACCCTTGATAAAAAATAACTCGGAGCATAAGACACTTTCAACGATTTATAATAAAATAAGGAAGAAAAAACCTAGAAAAGGAATTCCCTGTGTAATACATTTATTCATTACGGAAATAATTTAATGAAAACTGAAGGAAATACACTGTCATATTTTGTTTCTTTTTCCGTGAAACAATTAGAGCTTATGGAGGAGACAGCAACTTTATCTAGAATGTGAAAATAAAATGTCTAGTTTTAGTTTAGCAAAAGTTTTAAAGCTAAGTCTGAACAAGCGCTTGACTGACATGTATTTTGCTAAACAACTTTGCAAAACTTTATAACTACATGGAGTTTACGTAAAGTGCTCATGAATCACTTTTTATGTAACACCTGCTACTATTATAGTAAACATTATAAACTCGTACCTACAATTACATGAAACACGATTATTTTTTTGAAATTCACCAACAAGAACAACACTGTATAATACATACGTTTAACATATTTACTTCCCAATATATATAACTTGTATCATTCTATTTACAGACAAAATTCGCGTTTACCTATTATTATTATAATATGTATTTATATATTTTCCTGACCTAATTACGTGACGTTTCTACCCGGTATAATTGCTTCCTTAACTCAAGTCAAGGACAAATATTCGATCTATTGGCTAATTAGTTAATTTGTTTATTGAACGGTAAAGGGACAGCATCAAACAAGTCGGGGTAACATTTAGATTGAATTGGACATGTTGGTAGAAGCGTGAAGCTTGAATAAAGCGCTCTGATCATTGATTAGACGCCAATTAATCACTGTGGTGACATAAAATTATAGAATATATAGTATTTAGTGGATGTAACTGTAAAGAGTACAATATTTATCATAATAATATTTATGAATGTTGAGCAATCCTTTCTTAGTTGATGAATACATTCCAACGATGCGTCTTTTCTGTTTTGTGGGATATATAGAGGGGATAAATGAGCAGACATGTCACCTGATGACGCCTGTAACACCAGAGCAGTTTATAAAAATGCGTTGCTGGTTGTCTATTGGAGAATAACGATTTTACTTTCAGATTGCAAAAATAAAGTAGCTTTTAGCAATGTAACAGTCAAACTGCGAAGTCCAGTAGTCTAGTATAACAAGTAAATAGAATCTTTGGTGCAATCACTTTTGGGCCTCTAAAAAGAAAGGAGCACTAAGAAGACTTAAGAATGTACACAACAGGACAATTCAATTAAGCCGAACACTTACAGCAGGCACAATGACAACTAGAAAATTAAGAAAAGCAAAAACACATCAGAATTTATGACGAAACAGCCATAAGTTCCGTTTTCTCATTGTTACACGGTTCACTAAAAACGTAGCGCATGAGGTCGGATGGACCAAGTGTTTCGGCTCAAATACATACAGGCCGAACATTTATCTCGGCCAAGTTAATTGGGGCCCAGTTTTTTTTCTTTGTACATTTTATACCATGCTTACAAACTGTTAGCTGTAGGAATTTCTTTTGGCAATTTAGTTACGCGTAAACATACGTGTTGGGTTTGAGAATCAATCTAATAAGTGAAGACAAAACTCGATTGTTGGTTACAAAGGGCTTTTCTATCACATCACCGCTTGTGGTAATAGTATTGCAGCGGATTTTCGTGGGGAATGTGTGTAGGTGTAGCAAGTACAAAAATAGTAGTGCCGATGTTTTGCAAAACAAAGAATAAAATATTGTATTGATGCTACATCTGTAAAAATGTACTGCCAACACAAAACTATTAAAGGTCCGGGCTTCTCGCAGACACCATAATATACCATAAGCCAATTTATTTTTCCTATTTTAATATTATGTTAGTATGATAAGAAATTGGTTCATATCGACCTTATATACTATTTTGAAATAAAATTATACCGACGTAAGCTTCTCAAGGTGACCTGACAGTATGTGGGAGTACGTCTGTCCAAATACCGACTCAAAGGTTCTGAGTGAAAGCCCTGGGCAAGTCTTCAGCATATCTAAAAAATGCCTCTATCTCATGTAATTTTGCCTTAAGAAATACACAGCGCTTTCAAAGAATTACAATTCTTATTAATAACTCAAAAGAATGGTATATTACTACGATTAAACTTAACACAATAAAAGTAGGTAATTTATTAAGTATAGTAATAAAGTTTGTGATATAAACGTAACAATTTATGTTATTGTTAACTCCTTGAACTAAGTCTAACGTACTTGGCTAGGATATAACAAGTATAATAACTTACCAAGTTAAAGTTAGAGCTCACGAGCCGAGTTGTGAACACCCTACCTATATGTACACTGTGGTATCTTCACTTTTAATTGTTATGTAAAATACTTGTGTTATGAAGAGCAAAAGTTTCTTGCTTGTCTTGTTGAGGTATTCAACTAAAGATCACTATATCATGTAATAAAACTTACTTACTTGAATATAGGTAGAGATATTGTCTCTATATGGAGAAATATTATTAAAAAAGTATTTTAACTACTAAATGTACTTTAAAACAAAATATAGATAATGATACAAATGCTTTGTGTTTGTTAGTTATGATTTTAAATCGAAGTCGTAACCGATTTTAAAACATGACATAACTACTAAAATCTTATTATTTGTGGTGAATAAAATAAAAATTCTCTATGTATTACTTGGAGTAAAACCTAAGAAACAAATATCATACAATTGTCACGTATTCAATCTTTCCAGTACTACGCTGTGCTGGATGACGAGCCATCGGTAGATACCTATCTACGGTTAAACCATTAAGCACACCCAATACAAATCTAAATCTTGGAATAAATTTGCCAACACGTTTAGCATGAGCTTTGAATACAAAAATACGCTCTTAAATTATAACAAAGAGTCACGTCAGTCAGTCAATAGAAGACTTAATCAGAAATCGCGTTTTCCAAGTATCCGTTATTGCGTAAAACCGGTGCGCGTTGAGACGAGGCATGCATTATGATAATTCAGAACGTTTCCGACGGAAGAGGCGCCGCGGAACGCTTCGCGGCACGTGATGAAACGCACCCGAAATTATTTTATAAAACACTTGTATTTCTTTATTTTCGTGAGAGCATAATACAGTACGTGAAAGGATTTATGCCTCTCTACCTATTACCATAAATGTTGGGTGTTTTTGTAACTAAAGTGTAGACCGTGTCAGAATTACTACCTACAGAGTATTTTTTTTAATTTTAGTAAACCGAGAGGAAACGATTTCTTTTTTTGTTGTACTTGCATACGAATAAGAGTTAAAATCAATATTAAGGTGTTGAAACATTCTATATAAGCCTACGTAATATGTTGAGAGATAAAATATTTTTAAACGTATCTTTTGTTGTCTACCATCGCGTATGAATAAAAATACCTGTACATGCTTATACATGATGACCTGTCGACTAGCAGACATTCATAGCATTTCAGTGTTTCAGGACGGCGAACTATTGACCTAACCGAAGTAAAACAAAGGTGCTTATTACGTAGCACCTATATTAGGCGGGTCGGCAATGTATCGAGGTGGCGCACCGAATGAAACGGTTTCCATCACGCGATCCAACTCCAAACCTGAAAGAATAACCCAATACCTGCCAAACTGCAATTCCATTCACGAAAATAAAATATCCGATTTCATTTCTCATTTTATTATTCTTTAACGACATCTCATAAAATAATATTATTTAAAATTCAGTGCGATGCGAAATTAAAGTCATATTTAAAACCTTGAATACTGACTGTCCATAAACATTCGTTTTAAACTAAAAGTTTACGGTTTAAAACAATAAAACGTATTTTCTCTTTGTATAAAGCGCGCATTTTATCTATGCGAAATGAGAATCGTTACTTTAGATTTTAGGTGGCAGTAAAAGATATGCGAAGATGTTCAACTCTCAAACAGCTTTGCTTTTACGCTAAATCTTCGTAAGTGTCCTTAAAATGAATAGAATCGTCTCCCTCACCTAATTACGAGCAAAATTGTTGCACACTTATGTTTTAAAATGAAATGAGAGAGGATTATTTTGGCACGTGAATAAAATTGTCTCTATTTCCTCGGAATTGAGTTGAAAATATATGTTTGCGAAAACCAGATAGTCGATTTGGAGCGATTCGAAATA